ATTAACATAAACTAGATATCACTAACCTGAACGGCTCGGCTATGGGAGAAATCCGATATGTTGGATTATCTAGTGTCTCCCATTAGCCTGTTTAATGAAACAAACGACAAACCTAAAGTTTTACCCAAATATTTAATAGTTAGTACATCTCACGCTATTTTTAGATCTCGTAACAAAATCGGATGTTACCAATCAATACGGTTCGGAAATGAAGTTACGTTGCGTTATTGAATTACGTCTCGTGGACAAAGCGTGATATCTTATCGTCCGCGCGCCGTCAATAACGAATGGACTTCCAATTACGGTAAATAAGGCCACGTTTATTTACCCAGAAATCCTTATCAACGATGCCGAAAGTGACGGTTTCGGTTTCGTCGCAGCGTAAAATCGCCCTCCGGGCGTTATTCTGGAAACGTCCTTTAAACCTTCGCGAGTAATTAAATTAAGCACGGTCACTTCCCTTATTAAAAGACGTCCTAAATTACCACGTGTTAGAGTTGAACAAAATTGGCGTAGGGAATCCAATAATGAACTCGACGCGTCCTATTAGAGAGGTCTCCGGCTATTGTATTTCTTCGGATTTCCAACTGATATAAGTCGCCCGGTTACTTTGACCTTTCTCCCATTTCGAGGATGAAATTTTATCCTTGTCGAAGTGTGTAGGTTTTGTAAAGCAGAACTTTACAACGTATTCTATTAAAGTACGATGTCACCAACATCTCATACCCGAATCCTTGAACGTAATCTACTTTGCACACAAAATGAGTTTGACACATCTATCTCGGTGGAGAGGGTTAGTTTTATGCGGAAGTTGTAACACGTAGGCCATTTGTCAAGCAGCCTTATTGCTGCCGAAGGTAGATATTTTAACAGCATGATTTTTTTCAAGTGCAGCCGGTCACCCAAATGGTGTAACCAGGTTTTTAGAAAGGGAAATGCGCACAAACATCATGTATTTGTAAGGAAAATAAAAAAAATGAGAGGTTATATAAACATTCCTCTCATGCATTAAATATTATTTAAAACAACCCCGAGGGATTTCATATCAACTTACATTTCGAAATACGACACGATTCGATTCAAAAATAAATATTAAGCTTAAAGATTTTCCATTGAAAACTTCTTTATCACTCATGCTCAACGGCGAAAGGTTTCCTCTGGCCGAACTTCGGCGGCGGCGGCGGTTAAGATGGGCGAATATTAAAAAGTAGTCGTAAAAGTATTGTTTTTAGCTTACCTAGCTTTCCAAAACTCAAGAGGGAAAAAGTTTTTTTTTATGCAAATATCTCCACCATCAGGTGTTTACGCAAACGGATCTCTCTCTTAAATAGAGAGCACAACTTTTCTGCAATTTTCCCCTACATTTCGTCGATTATTGCAATGGGCGACTTCAAGTGTACCAAAGGTCAACTGAGGAAAATGATTTGAACCTAGATTTCTGAGTCCTGTAACGGGAGTCTTTGAATGGGATTGAATGTATACAGGATTACTTTCTACAAAATTTTTATGACGGAGTTCCATTAATAATCTTCTGGCGCTTTTGATTGATGGGGTGGACAAATCCGTTTCGTTTATGATTAAAGACGGTCGACATAATTCCTTAGCGCCATTTTGGGAGCGGTTTTGGTAAATCCAAAAGTTGAGTAGGGATTAATTCGTTTGAAATTTAGCTCGTAGAGCTCATTGCGGAAAACAAAGAGAGAGACATTCGGTTTTGAACCACGAGAAAGTGATGTAAGCGGTTCGGAATAAAAATTTGTATTTATTTCCGTATCCGAGTATTAAACAATGTTCGCTGTCATACCGGAAGCAAATTAAAAAATTATAAATGTAAAGGCATAACCCTGCGTAAATATACAGTTAGTGTCATTAGGGGTTAAAAAATAAATTCATAGTACGCCTCGTTTTTACCCATGCCAAAGGGAGCATTGTGAAAAATCCTTAATCGTGAGTGAAAGTTTGCGACAAATCAATAAAAAGTTAGGTCGACGTCTTTGAATAGTTAAATTTTTTTCCTTTTCGAAAGTTTTAGGTGTTCGGAACAATTTAAATTAGTAGCAGTTTGAATTTGGAACACGGTATAGGCAGAGGAAGTTTGATTAGACAATACCATCGAATGTTACGCGTTTGTAAATTGTTGCGATAGCCGGATACCGTGTTAGGTTTCCAAACGTTTACTTTTTGTTTGGTTAAACAAATGCGACCACGGTTTCGAGTGTTCTGATCCTTATTTCAAAGCATGTGCTACACTACTTGCATCACATCTATAGCTAAACCTGACGGCCTGAACCGCTCGCGACGATATTACTAACCTTTGATCTCTTAGGTATGGTTTTATTGCCTTTGTATGCCATTTTTTGCCTTATTATTAATGTAACTAATTCGGTTTTAGGGTTTGGGTCCGGGTCCGTGTACCGGTACTTTTCCGAGTTTTACACAGGCCTTGGTACACCCACTTCTGTTTCGTCAACTGAACCTTTAACGGATACGTGACACTACTCAGGACCGACTAGCTACGGAAGCTCGAGATGGTATTGGGGTTGAAATGAGCTTGCGGTTTACAGAACCAAAACTTAAGTCTCAATTTGGTCCTCACCGCCACCTGCAGTAAACTTTTTTACAATTATCCTAAACCAGCCAAAAAATTCTTTAAAATTGAAAAACGAGATTATAATAGACAGTAAACTACAAGAGAAGCAATCAAAGGGAGGTAATCAATCTTTTCAGCTAAATATAATATAATTCACGTTGGCTTCTCGCGTAACTTAATTCCAATTACAAATAATTGACGTTAGTTGGAAGCATAATTTCGCAAGGACTAAATTTTAGTTACTCGTGACTTTGATTAACGCTTGTCCCTAAACTACGCCTCCACTGTATTTATGCATTTACTTAGAGGCAATTAGACCACAATCCAATAGTAGCTACTTGCAAATTTGTAACGTGTATTTTCATGCTTGAACATTTCCTTAATTTATTTAACATTCGATCTTTATATTCAATATTCTTACGCCCTCTATGTATTTCCTTTGTAAATCCATTCAGTTAAAATGCAAGTTACTTCTATAGTACATTCTTTATTATCCTTAGTTCTTTATTTTCGCCGCTAGAGGTCGTGCAGATGTTTCCCGTGAGTCTTTTTTTAATTCGGTCTTGCGTACATGTGTATTTTTCCGTGCAGAGAAGATCTGACATTCAAGGTGATTACGTAGAAATTATTTTTCTCGATACGCCATCACCTCTACTCCTTTGCCCACCTAAATAAAAACTTTTTGTAATGAATATGTGATGTGTTGTGGCTACTCCATTGAATACGCTTAGCGGGTTTATATTTGCAAGTAATTAGTGTGAGGTATGGAAAGATTATGACTCGGCTTTATTCTTAATACGTATTTCTTAGAGCTCAGTGTTCCCTCATAGTTCTATCATAGTTTCCCCTAATTTTCTTTTTTGGATTGTTTTTTTGTTATCTACCTGGACACTACTACGTCAACAAATTTACACCTGGAGACGTATTGTTCCTATTTAACTGTAGGTATTACGAAATCTTTCGGAGATTATTGCTTCGATGTTTCTGATTTTACTCACGCTACTTGTGTCGCTCCAAAGATTATACCTATCGAGACCCGATTTTATATACGTTACTTTTGATTCTCCGAAGACTCGTTATACGCAGATATTAGTTACCGTTGCTTTGTAAATTAGTTTTTGAAACTACCAAGACTCATTCTAAAACCGATATCTACAATTTTTAGATAAGTTATTTGTGTCACTCCGAAGAATTCTTTCATAGTACCTGGTTTACATTTTGAATTAATTTGATTACACACAACTACATAGCCGGAGGTGGGGTATTCGAAACTGGTCAGAGGTAAGAATTTTTTATCTGTGGCAGACATGGGAATTTCCTTAGATCAGTTTCGAGCATTCTGTTGGCTACTCCGAATTCGGTCTTCCTGCTGTTTTCCTAATTCGTAAGGTAAATGCCAGAGTAGTATAAAACAACTTAAAATTCTCTGCAAGGACACATCCAATAAGCATGATGTGGGCCACTCTGTAATTGGGTAAAAGCCTGTTGAGGGCCCCAGAACAAGACACAAATTAAAATTTTCTGTATGAAAATAGAGTTATTTGTGCGCCGTAAAATAGTTTTCTTGATGTAACACACCGATTTGTACGGACAACTCGTGGTCACTCAAAATTTTGCTTTTGCTAGTGTAAAGTCCATTCGAATGATTAATTCTTACTGAGAATTAATTACAGTTTTAGTATAATATTTGCCCTAGTGTCAGACGTTAGACATGGCTACCGCAATATTTATGTGCCGCGCTATTCACTATCCCTCTTGTTTGTTTGTTTGTTTTTATTTGTTTCAGATAAGACAGAAAAGCGCTTTTCTGAGCTCAAATGACCGTTACAACCACAGTTCAATCTGCTTAATTTTCGACGGCTCCTTAATATAATAGTATATTACGCACCGAGTGCGAAAGTAGGTTATTTTTCGAAGAATTTTAATCACCCGAGGCGCGCAGCGCCGAGGGTGATTATATTCTAAGAAAAATAACCTTTCGTCGAGGTTCGTATACGATTTTATTCACGATCATCATTATAATCATTCCATTATCAAAAATAAAATAATTCACTAAATTTATACGTAGTATATTCATCTTATGCGCCATCTGCAATATTATTGCCCTACATAAAATGTTGTCGGTAATACAGATTTGGAAATTTACCTATTTAATATTCATATTAATTTAACATGCATGTTAAAAAATGGCCCATACTAAAGAATTTCAATGTACATCCCCTCAAACAAGGGAAATTGAGTGTAGTAAAAAATGTACTGCCCGAATGAATTTTTGAAGAAAATGAACAATGGTGGGCAGGAAAGGGTATAGGTAAAACTTCATGTTTTACTTGCTTATTTTAATCAGGTAAAGGTAAAGAATCATCCACATTATGAACGACCAAATAATGTTGTGATCCACATTCAAACCTAATGCCTAATGACCATGTCAGTTTTATTATTCTAAAATGTACCTACAGTGATCTTTTATGATTACAGATTTAGACTGGGTTACAATATTAGTATTATAATCTGTGTAGATGTCAATAACGAAAGATTTATTCTCCAGATCCAATCAGGTAGTCACTAAACACCTGTTCCAATACGATAGCCCTAAAAAATAGCATTATCTATTTCTAAAACGTGACAAATTACCTACATTTAATTACCGGACATTGTTTTTGGCATCTCATCACTACAATATTAGCAAGTGCCGGTGGAGTTCTTCAACTTAAAACAGTTCGGTGGCTGTAGATCGGCTGCAGTAGCAGAAGGTTTCGTCGCCCAATCAGCTGTCATCTGTGTCAGACAGTTACGATGAGAGCGCCATCCATTAGGATATTAGCAACTAAATCGAGGTAGGTAATGAAATATTACTAACCTCGAATCGAACATTATTAACCTCGAGAATCTACTTTCCTCCCTCCTGGAAAAATAAGTGCTGTAAAACACAACTTCCTTATCCTTCAAAATGACAATTATGAGACTGATTACAATATGATCGTGAATAAAGTTTGATTACATCCTGGATTTCGGTACATTCGATTTGTTTTGATATAGACCCTATTGACCTATGAGTTGATCCCCTCCTTGCTAAAAATTGAGCTAAATACAAACATTGACATTTGAGATCTAGGTATTACAGTGTCCTATTTGTAATATTTTGAGATCATTTATTAAATCACCCGTTTGTTTATGTTCTACCCTGGCAAATATTCTATTTCTTTAGCTCATCAAACCCAGAACAAGGATCTCAGTCTGCTTTGTTCCCCCTTTCGGTAAGTATTCCCTTTCTCTTTTGAAATCGACTGAAGACTATCTGGTTTACTACTACTTTTGCTTTGTTATTCACCCCGACCGACCTACCTTGCCTGAGCTTATCCAACTGAAATGTTACGTTTACTCAAGGTGAACAAATTATTATCCATTTAGCACAACTAATGAGTGTTAAATGAAAAGACATTACCTTGAAGCGCTCCTATAGGGAATTTGAATTTTATGATATTGACGGATTTCTGACAAAATTTCTTTTACTCTAAATTGGAATCTCAACGACGGCCTCCGTTCGCCTCCTTCACAAGCTAAAATATCAATTTCTTTAGAACCACATTAAGCGTTTAGGTACGCTCGAAACGTTAGTTTTTTTTATTGTTCTGTCACACACTTCCATTTTGTGTGTGCCTGCCCTATAACCATTATGATAATTTATGAGCACATAAACCGCATAACCTCAATACGGTTATCTTATTTATTAAGGTGAGTCACGTCAGTATTTAATGGTATTTAAAATCCCTTAAAACAAGTTCGGAGACTCGAAGAGACTTATAGACCCCGCGAGAATCCTACATAACCTTTAAAGTTTGAACAAGCTCCAAGATACTTCAGGAGTTTTTTTCTAGTTCTTAAGTATCTAGGGGTTTCTAAGAATTAAGGCGCCATGAGTCTCTAAGTGCCTTAAAACGTTTAAATTTTATCGAGTGGCTACGGATTCTTCAAGAGTCCACCACAGTTTAAGAAACTCTTACTTAATAGACCTTTTCTAGCTAATTTCCTTTTGTCGCACCAATGGAAGGCATTGGAATAATCCCGTGTAGAAGTGCACCTACAATAGGAAATCATCCTTTAAAACGTAGTGCTCTAGCAGAGTGTCGATCATCCTGGCGAATCCAGGATGTGAGACCTCACTGATACGTTCAGCACATGACCTAACTAAATCTTGTTTCATCTCCACGTATTTACCGAATACGTTCAGTTCGTCAAAAATTCGGTAGCAAACGTTTCGGCAACTAATCTCCGCTCTTCCGTAGTTTTCTCGGAGAAGCCTCTTTTGCTTCTCGCTACCGTGGATCAAAACCATTGACGTAATCCAGGTGCACTTACCATTCGCGATATCGGTACTATGCCTTCCAATATTGTCGTAGTTACCGAAGGTGTCAAACATGTCGTTCTAAGGTGAACCATTTGTGAGTAGTCGAGTTCTGGAGGAGATACCAACCTGAGCCTGGCGGTGTATCGCAAAATTTCCAAAGATGCGCACTGAGTCGAAATACAACTTGGGGTTTTGCTCTGCAAGGTAGATTGCGGAAAGTACAGGCGCGCCGTACATAATGAATCCTGTCTTGTATTTAGTTATGGCATGGAATCGATCGGATGATAGTACACTAATGTCTCTAGTTTTCTTGAAGAGGTCCGACGTGGCTATGTCTAGAGTCTGTCCAAGGTAACTTTGGTGTATTATCTCAGCTAGAAGTTTATGGAAGTCTCTATAATTGGGATGGCTAATCGCATATTTTCTAAGAATTTCAAAGGCACCCGCCGTGATCAGTCTCCCGTCCAATGTGACTCGCATACCAACATGGGGGAGTGTATGCCAACTTGGTTTCTTCCATCGTTCTAAGTTTTCGTCATTGACGTCATCAGCAATTAGAATGGAGGTCGCTGCCTATTTTAGTAAAAAGTATAGAGCAATCGACCATTTGTTAAATTACGTGTTCGAAGGCCCAAGATAACATGGTCGCCATCTTCAGATTGGCGCGTGTCTGTTTTTCGGGTGACTCCAGAGCCGTGTAGCAATCGAGCAAAACTGGACCGGGGTAAAGGTCGCGCTCAGGTCCGGTGTAGTAGCACAGTTCCTCGTAACGTTCGACCACCTCATGCAGCTCGTGGTCTGCTCGGGGTATCGAATCTTTCACAACGAATGGGAATAGGCACATCATCTTCTTTACGTTCCCTATGTTGTCAAAATGAAGGCTGCGTGTGCGCACAAAAGGAAACTTACCAAATCTGTTGAAATCATTGGGGCCATCCACAAGGTGTGTCCTTTCGCACATCTTTTCGGCCTGTGCTAGACTTACTGCGGATTTGTAGCAAAATCTACGACATATCTTTGAAATCATACTCCACCTTAGTCAGGCTGGCGGTTATACCAAGCACTATTCAAAGTACTAATCAGCATTTTACTTACAAACAACAGATAAGAAAAATTACTGTAATTAGAGTTCGTGACCTCCAAGATTATGAAATCTAGCGCACACAGCGCAAAAATCACCCCGGTTGCGACTTTTGTGAACTGATGCTCGGTCAACAAGGTCCATCAATTCTTATATTCCTTTCCATCCTTTGACCTATCCTTCTCTACTCCTCTGCCATTTAATTGGTGTATTTCTCTTATTCTCTCCTATTACCAGTGTTAAGTCATGCACTTTCAGCACACGCAACAAAATTACCTCTAGTTAGATTCTTTCGATTCCTGCGGTTCATTAGATTTTCTAAATTACACTCCCAGACCCTCGAGATCCTGCAGATTCCTTAGATCAAATAAGTCCTTAGATTCCTTATTTCATAGATTCCCTAGATTTCACAAATTCTCAGATTACCCAGGATTCCCTAGATTCTCAAGATTCCACAGATTCCCTAAAGTACTCAGACTCCTCAGATTTATCAGATTTCCCAGGTTCCCTATATTCCATTGATTCCCTAGGTTTCCTAGATTTTCCAAATTGTCCTGACTCTCCACAGGTTCCTGAGATTGCAGACTCCCCACACTTATCAGATTCCCCAGATTCCCCATACTCCCCAGAATCCCCACGATTCCATAGATTCCTCAAAACTGACGCCTAGCAATGTAAACCGTGATGTTTTTGTAAAAGCCTAAGAACCTGCAAATTAAAGTCATTCTGAGCCCTAAAATTATTTTTATTTAAGACGTTTAAATGGTCTCCAAAACCGTTTAGTGCTTTTTAAAGCCTGTAACAACTATCTGAGGGCTTCTCAAGGTCTTTACGGGCCTTAAGGATCACTGATAGAGTGTTTAAGAAATCTTCATGAGGATTCAGAGGCCTCTAAAGGTCTACTAAAAAGTTTAGGTCTTTAAGTTTTTAAGAATCTTCTTTATCCTTTAAAGGCTAAGTGTAAGTGTAAAGGAAGGAGGAATTAAAAGAAATTTAAGGAGGGGGTGTGTAATCAGTTTATTAGCGGCTTGAAGGCTCTTAAGGTGGGTCATTAGCAACCTTCAAAAAGCCTTAAATACTCGTAGAACTTTAAAGATTCTATCACAACTAGACAGCCCTTGGAGAATTTCAAAGGCTTTTGGTAGCCTCTTCAGATTATTGAGGCTTTTACAGTTACAGGGGCACTAAAACGTTTTAGTAGACCTTTAGAGACCTCTGGATGCTCATGAAAACCTCTTTAACACTCTAACAGGCACAGTGACCCGTAAGGACCCTGAGAAACCCTCATTATAGTTGTTACAGGCTTTAAAAGGTGGTAAACGGTTTTGGAGACCATACTTCTTTAATAAAAATAATTTGAAGGCTCCGAATGACTTTAAATACTCTTAAGAGCCAACCCCTTGCAGGTTCTTAGGCTTTTACAAAAACATTACGAATTGTTTGGGGATTCTGGGGAGCGTGGGGAATCTGGAAACCTGGAGAATCTAAGGGATCTAGGTAATCTGATGAGTCTGGACAATCTGCGAAATCTGAGGAATCTGGAGGGTCTGGAAAATCTAGGGAACCCAAGGGGTCTGGGGAATCTGATGAATTTGAAAAGTCTGAGGACTTTAGGGGATCTGTGAAATCTAGAGAATCTATGGAATAACCTATTTATGGATTATAAGGAATCAAGGGAATTTATGTAATCTAAGGAATACAGGGAGTCAAAGGAATCTGATGAATCTGTAACTATCTGTAGAATCAAATCGATCTGGTGAGTTTAGGGAATCTGAGGAGTCTGGGGAATCCGCAGAATTTGCAAAGTCTGGGGCATCTGTAGAATTTAATTAGGAATGTAGGGAATGAAGGGACCCTATTAAATCCATTGAATCTAGGGAATATGGGAAATCTATGGGAAAGTGAAGAATTTGAAGAATTTGTAGAATCTGGAAATCTGCAGGATCTCGAGAGTCTGGGATATCAGTGTAATTTAGGAAATCTAATGAATCGCAGGAATCGAAGGAATCTAGGGAATCTAGGGAATCTAGGGAATCTAGGGAATCTAGGTAATCTAGGGAATCTAGGGAATCTAGGGAATCTAGGGAATCTGGGGAATCTGGGAATTTTTCTCGAGAATATGGGAAGTCTGTGGTATCTCGAGAATTTCTGGAATCTAGGGAATGTATGGAATAAGACGTTTAGGGAATCTGGGAAATCAAGGGAATCTAAGGAATCTAGGGAATATAGGGATCTGTGATAATCTAGAGAATAAAATGAATCTGGGGAGTCTGTGGAATCTTAGGAGTCTGGGAAATCTGGGGAGACGGGGGAATCCGTGAAATTTGTGGAATATTTGAAACCTGTGGAATGTAGGGTAGCTATGAATTTTAAGGAATCTCGGGAATATGAGGAATGTGATGAATCTGGTGAATGTGGGGAATTTGGCAAATCTGTTGAATCTCGAGAATCTGGTGAATTTGGGAAATCTGGGGAATCTGTAGTGTCTGGGAAATTGTGCCATCTAGGGAATCTATGTAATGTAAGGAACGCATGGATCTGGGGAATCGAATGAATCTGGGAAGTGTGGGGAATTTGGATAATCTGGGAGTATGGTAGAGCCTAGCCTTTGTAAGACGTCGTATATTCCTCATTCTTGGATTGTTTGTTATTATTTATGCTACAAGGAACCACATTCTATAGGAAAAATTGAAACGGGAGGCCGTTAACGGATTTTATTTGATTTCAATTTTACTTAAATTTCGTATGTGTGTTGCTTGACCTTGTAAATGCGTTTGAAAGCTTATGGCGCCAGTGAGTCGGGGGACATGACGCGAGTAATCCTGATTACATGGAGATTTTGTCTATTTTGCAGTCCCCTTCCATATCTTCCTAAGCACCTCCATGGTACGAGTTCTCTTCACTCAAGGGTGTTTAATATTGTATCAGGGCGGAACTGGGTAGTGAGGATATTGACGAAATTCCTGAGAATGCCTTATTAGCAACTCAAGGTTCGCCTTTAGCCTTTGATAGCTTATGGTGACCCTCAAAAGCTATTAGGGACAATCAAAGACACAAAAATTATAAAATCCTATCATTAGTCCTAATCTCCTGGAAGTCTCTTGGACGATCTTGAAACATTACAGCCTCTCAAGGGCTTCAAAAGGTTCTAAAAGGAGATTATGGTTCTTAAAAAGACCACAAAAATCAATAGCCGGTTGAAGTCTCAGCTTTCAAAAAGTAATAAAGATGTCTTCTTGAAGGTTTATAGAGACTTTTAAAGAAAAGCTTTAAAGGTCGGGCCTTTGCAGCAAAGGGGTACTATCTTCACCACTTTTTTGTGGCACAACGTGGTATCCATGGTTCAGGGGCACAGACGTAACTAATGAGATACTTTTTTGTGCTGCAAGGTGCAATGATGATTCCTATTCCATTCCTTTAGAACTCGTAGAATTTTGAGTTTCAATTTTAGGAAGGTATCTCAAATACGTCTGGCAGCTTGTAAAAGTTTTCGAGTTTTATTTAAAACTGTGAGTAGGGGAAGGGGGCAGAGAGATGTTATAATTTAGGCCTACGCTACTCTTAAAAAATAACGATTTATTCAATTGAAATTTTACAAAAAAAATAAGCAAAGCGTTCAAGAAAAATAAAAGGGTTCTGTACTCACATATATACCGTTTTTTTACTCGCTCCTTGTCTTTTTAAAGTCGTAACACAAAGGATGCACAGATAATAATAAAATCACCGTAATCTCGTAAACCCCAGGATAATACGTTAATGTTAGCGCGTCTTTAGACAGCCGAATACTAACGGGATACCTACCTATAGAAAGTATTTTTATAAAACGGAATGAGTGACCTTGTTTGTGGTGCAAGGTCGTGCTCTTGGTGAAACGAATTTCTCCTGATACCTAGCGCCCTTCTTCCTATCTCTTTACTCACCACCACAAATGGGCAATTGCGCCCTCGAACTTGTAAAGTTCATCTTACATTACATTTTCAGCATTTAGTTACTTCGAGCACGTAGGGCTCGTTAATTTTTTTCCGCTCCCATTGTCTGTGCCTATTGTACGAAGATACACAATAACGAAAGCCCAACTCTAACGCACACGCCCGCTTTTAATAATACCGCGACGGAGCACGGAGAGAGCTTTTATTGTATTAGCGGGAATTAACTTAATAAAGAAACGGAATTTGGACTAAATAAGGGCGGAAAGTTTAGCGAAAGGACGACGGCTTTACGAGAAACACAGATCAAACACGCATTCTTAGCTTGAATTTAAGATAATTCGATTATTCAAAATTGAGCCCCGCGGCGTATTTAACTATTGATTAATTTCTAATTAAGTGCCGTTATAGGATGCTTTACTGTAGCGGATCAGTGATTTTATAAGGTTATAACGTGAAGGGAATCGATGCAATACGTACACTATAAAAGCCCTAATGGGATTACCCTAACAAAATAGCACAGATTACGGGGTATTAGGTAATAATAGGAGTTCTATGGCATGCAATCTCTATAAAACCGCACCTTATCGACTTTCCGGAGGATTATTAGTTAGAGTTCCTTTAAAAACATTATTTCATGATCCAACGATGTCACAATGAGAAAATGAAAATTACTGTATTGTATTTAGGGGTAACTTCTTAGGCTCCCGCTATGTAGGTTTATTCGCGTTTAGGGATATTCAAGGTCTACTGACACTTTCCTAGGGCCTTTAGTATTATCAGTTCTCAAAAGTCTTCGAGGAACGGAGCTCCTTAAATACATACTAGAAATACCAGCCCCTGTGTGACCTCCTACGTCGAAGTCTGGGGAAATGTAGGAATGTTAAATAGTATATAAAATTTAAAAAAACTTGCATCGTTCGGGAATCGAAACCGGGCCGCCCGCGTGGCAGCTACAACGATTAGATGAACTACGACGACGACTTTCTATTATTTTCAAATTTTTTTATTTCCGAGCCTTGTTATCCCATGGTGGTAGATGGTAAAATAGTACTCGAAATTACCCCAGGCTCAGGCCTCAT